ACAAGTAGATAAATGGGTACCACTTCAGTGGGAAAGCTGCATTCGTGTGTGCAAAGAGTCGAAGCCGGTGCTGGACCTTCCCAGATGTGACGCATCACGACATGAGGTGAGGCGAAGTGAGACCAGCGGATTCATCCGGATGAGCCAGCAAACTGATCAGTGCTAGTTAGGTGGTGTAAAGCTAGTTTGCCCCCAAGGTGTACCAAGGATATGCACTCAAGCATTGAATAGATGAACTAGCAATCTAAACTGCCAGGACTACATTGGGTCTAGCATGTGTAGATTTCCCTGATATTGTATGCCATAGGCTAAACAAATAATAAATGTTGAGAAAAGGAGAAAGCTGGCTTAAACAGAAATGACATTATTCCTTACTTAATATGTAGAGCAAACATCCAAAAATTTTCAAGGGTTAAGGTTAGGGATGTCAACAAACCTTTACAGTTACATATTGACACCACCTTTACCTTTTTTATTTCAAAAGGGTCAATTTTTGACAATCGCTCTATAATCTCAATGTGCAATTTTGCAAAACCATGGAATAAAGTAAATTCTAAAAAGAAAAAAAAACTGAACAAGGACTGCAGTACAAGTTGTGCAAACTTATAAACTTCATGGCCTTCACTGTCAACATACAAATGCATGGAGGAAGACAATAAACCAGATGAAAGCAAATGTTCAAAACAAGATGGGTGGCAAATAAAGCTAATAAATGAAATGAAAAAAAATATTGATTTAAGAGTGTCATTTATTTATCAGATATATATGTCCTTAATGTCGCTCCAGCTTCTTATATACAAATGATAAAACATCCACAGTAAATATTATTGATAAGACAGGTAAACAAACAAACACTGTACAATTTACTCTCTTAAAAACAGTTTTCTGAAATACAGCAATACTGAGATAACTTCCCAACAACTCACAAGCTAACTGAATAGCAAGGTGCCATTCAATTATGGAAAAGCTCAGTTTTATCACTTTCTGCAAGGGTTAAGTAGGAGAAACCATCTTTTCACCAAAAGGAAGCTGTTCCCTAGGATTGGTGCTGTGATGGAAAGACATAATCTCCTAATCTCCCCTCAGTCCCATTTACTTCATAGAAATCTGGGATTGCTGTGATTATGATCTATGTATTGTAGATGTCAATCCTGGTTGGAGAAGCTGGTCCTGAAGATACTGTAGTGCCAGCCATGTGGGGCTCTATTAGACAAAACCAGTCCTTGGATTTTCACTCAGAAAATTATCAGCAATTTGTGCAGGGCATTGAACACATTACTCTCTCATGGCAATTGCCTAAAATAGGAGTTAAACTATTGTAAAACAGTCCCCAAACTTTGCAGGTGATCTAAAGGATAGCAGGCTGATAATATCCCAAGCTAATGAGTAGTACAACAGTACTAGAAGTGGGGAAATGCCCCAAACAAAGTCCTGGAAAAGATCATTAACAACCAATGTTGTTTCTGTCCCCGGCCTAGGAATAAATCCTGACTGAAAGGGACCCTCCCCAAAATGCAGTTTCTCCAGAGTTTTGTGGTTGTCTTGTCAGTATCTTCTCCCAGAAAGGAAGGCTTCTCATGGGGTAGTCTTCCAATGGGCCAGATGTGGGCTGTGGCTGTCGCAGTCTCCTTCCATGTGTTATAGTGTCCCAGCTACTGCAGCAAAGAAAGGGAGATCTCCTTTTCTGTATCTACAGTAATATGGGAACATCTGAAGAATGTCTACAAGGGCACCTCCTTCCATTTCTGAAGGATATATGGAACCTGTGCACCGAGGCTTCTAAGGAGAGAGAACTGAATACAAGGATAGGTAACAAAAGGATTCTTCTGCTAATATATAAGGCTGTAATCAGAAAGAGACTTACTTGCAATCACAAGACCGCTGGGACATTGCAATGGCTAGAATACTAAAAACCCATCACCAGGACCCTTTGCCCAATGCTGCCAAAGTTTAAACAGTTGCTGAACAAGAAGACATAACCTGGGAACCACGTTTATATTCATGGGATCTGAACTCTGAGAAATCGATCTGATACAACAGAGAATGGTGAGGTGCGTAAATCAGCAAGAAAAAGAACCGCTTACTCATATAATCTATTCCCCAACATAGATGCAGGCCAAGCACACAGAGAAATGAGGGGCACACCTAAGAATGATTATGTAAAGAAAACATAGTCATAACTCATTATCTTTTTCCCCCAGTTACCTAAGAATATAATCTACCGGGATCTCAAATCTAATAGTAGCCTCCTCTTGCAATTGTCCAGCCTTGGGTACAGGGCCTTTTTTAAGGAAATTTAGTGAATTAGTTACCTGATTTATTACAACACCAGCATGAAAATAATTGATCATCTATGTCTTTTTAAATTTTCTTAAGGCTTCTAAAGTTGCAAGTGGCTATTTAAAGTCTGTTCAATGCTTATGTTTCAGCTGCATAGCTAGCCAAGCAAAGATTGTACAGTAGATAATATTCAACTCAGAATCACTCAAACTGTTAAAACATTTGAAATCAACTGATTTTGATCTCTTATTTAGGCCAAGATTTCTAGCAAAACCTCTCTGTCATTTTCAAATCTGGTTATTCCACAACTTCAGTTTCTCATATGATTTGGGATTAAAGCATAACTGCTCATCTGTTAATAAACAAATAGGTTTGGCAGCCAAGATCCCTATATCATGAAGTCTGCAAAAATCTTGGAGAGGTATTTTTTTGAACGTAGGTGAATATACGTGTCCCGGGATAATGTTGCAGGATCCCACCTGGCTCAGTCACTGGGAGCAGAGGGTTAATCTTCCAAGCTTTCGGACTCAGGGAACTTCTCTCTAGCAGAGATACTTTTTCCTCATCCTCCCCCATTAATTACTGAAGAGAAGAGCTGATGCCAGAAACACAAATGGCTGATTTTTATGGTCGGATAAGGTAAGATATGCTGTGTCCAAACCTGTCTTCCAGAAATCTAATCTATTCAGCAAACCAAATGGGGACATATTATGCTGCCAGTTCTTTGAGAAATCAAGTGTGGCTAGTTTGAATGGCAACTATTAACATGAAGGCAAGAGAAAATTTGGGCGAAGGGGTGAGGGGAAGCTTTAAATACCAGGAGAATACACTAGGGAACAAAGTTTGCCTCTGGAGAAGAACCCAGGAGCAACAGAGAATAAGGTGAGGAAAAAACAGCCAATTTCTTTTGTAGCAAACTCTCTAGAAAAGTGGGTGAGGCAGGTCAGGAACTTAGAGTTCTAGTGATGAATAAAAACTAGCTGGTGACATAAGCCATTCACTCAGTTTCAGTCCTAGGAAAGGAAGTGTATTGTCTCCGATGTTGCATCACATATATACGAATGATCAACCAGTCTCTGACTTAACATGATTATTTATCTATGCAGATGATATAGCAGTGGTCACACAAGGATCAAGTTTTGATGAGTTGGTAGGAAGACTCACTGTTGCACTTGAAAAATTAGAATGGTATTATACCATCAATCATTTGAGACCCAATCCAAGCAAGACCCAAGTGTGTGCTTTTCGTCTTTGAAATCGAGATGCAGGGGTGGAGTTGAATGTTTCATGACAAGAGAATCGAATACTGCCTTGCACTACACCAAAGTATCGGGGTGTGACACATGATAGGACACTTTCATTTAAACAACACTGCCTATATACTAAGGTTAATGTTAGCATGAGGAATAACATTATCAGGAAACTGATAAATTATATACGGTATGTGGCGCAGCAGTTAGAGTGCAGTACTGACTGTTCAGCAGGTCAGCGGTTCAAATCTCACCGGCTCAAGGTTGACTCAGCCTTCCATCCTTCTGGGGTAGGTAAAATGAGGACCCAGATTGTTGGGGGCAATGTAAATATATATATATACATTGCTTATTGGTATACACCGCTTAGAGAGTGCTTGCACTTAAAGCGGTATATAAATCTCATAAATAAATAAATAAATGTGGCGCTCAGCCATCCACTCTGCAGACATCAGTTTTGGCCCTGTCTATTTTGACAGCAGAGGTGTGGTGGACAAGGCACTTCTGAGCCAGTGCCTTGTCCACTGCACCAAATTAGCTCTCCTAGGGAGTGCATCTACACATGCAGAGCAAATTGACATTGCTGTCAATGAAGCAGTGTGCATAGTGACAAGATTCCTTAAACCCACATCAATTGAGAAAGTGTATCCTTGGCATTGCTCCACCTAGAATTAGAAAAGAAGTAATAGCAGTTATGGAGAGAATCAACAGAATGATCTCTGGCATCCTCTGAATGGATATGTGTCCCAAACTCATTGATTCAGATCTAGGAAGAGTTTTATGGCAAGAACAAATATTCTTGAAGGCACGCAGGAGAAAAACTGAATTAGAAGGTGGAGGAGAGAATTTACAGAACAAGAAATAATCCCAGAAGAGAACATGACTGAGGGATTTGATATCCCCTATGTTATTTGGAGGACGTTGAATAGGCTGAGGGTGGGAGTGCTAAATATAATACCAATATGCTCAAATAGAGATTGCAGCAGGATAACAACACGCAGTGTGAATGTGGGAGACACAAACTGGTCCATTTGTTGGTCTGTCCATTACTGCCAATAGAGTGCACCAAAAGAGATTTGTTTCTGGCAAACAAGAAAGCTAAAAAGGTGTCCTAGTTTTGGTAGTTTAAGGTTTGTTTTGGACACAAAATAAAGAAATAAAATAATGCCTTAGGAAGACGTAAGTAGCAAAACTGTCTTTCCTGGGCTGGCATAGGAAGCTCTGCTTTTGTTGAGAGTTGATGTCTCCTTGAGCCTAACTTGTCATACCTTTCTTCTTTACAACTCAGACTTGGTGTTTTGGTTCTGCTAAGGGCCAAACCTTTAAATCTGAAGTTGTTCCACAGGATGAAACACCCATGACCTTCCCTTATATTTCAGAACTTGAATCATCCTGTTCTATGACCAATTGTAGCACCATTTTCAACTAGGAGTCTCAATTTGTCTTTAATCTGTAGTTGGTGCTCTCTCATTCAACGCTCTTCCAGAAAGACTGCTGCAGAAAGGAAACATTACCTCTGTCCTAAGCGAGTGGCTTCATGCAAAGCAAGAAATGGATACTACAAAATCACATGGATTTTTCCTAGCCAGCTTCCTTGTCCTCATGCTCTTGGGTGATCTCACTGAGGCCTGTACATGTAAGCCACTAGGTCTCCGGAAAGCATGTTGCCAACATGACTTTGGTGAGTTTTGAAAATGAATATTTTTCTCCTATCTCTTACCACTTCCCATGTCTCTACTCTGTAGGTTTTGCTGCCAACATAAAACCTTCCAGTTGTAGCAAAATCATTCCTATGTCATGAAAGCTGAATATATTTCTTATTTCAGAATCCTTTGTGAATAAGACTAACCAGCACCAATGAGTTGTTCTGTATTGAAAAATCTGAAATTTAAAACCTCTTACGGGAAAATCTCTCTCACACCCTCTCTCTCTCCTTCCTTCTCTAGTGATGAGGGCCTTATTTACGGGTGTCCAGCAGGATCCTGACTCTCCTTCGTATATGCGCATAAATAAATTTTCTATTCAGCCTATTAGGGTAAGCCTCTCATCTTCCTAAAATGTATGACGAAGAGCAAGTTGGCAGATATTCAATCTTTTATGAAGGTATATTGTTCCTCTCATGACAAATTCTCCTGACCTACTCTTGCCCTTATCAAATACAGAATTTTTTTCTTTCTGAAGATATTCAAGGGTTCAAGGGGAGCAGTAAATGCACGGGTTCTCTACTCGCCAGAATCAGATTCTTTCTGTGGATATAAACATAAAGGCCCTTTCCAAGAAGATGACTACGTAATTTCAGGTAGAGAATACCAATAAACTAGTAACAACACAATTAATACATATATTGCATTGCATACAATATTTCAACATTATCATTATTCCCAATCTAGTCTATGTTATTTCTGGGTCATTTTTCCATCCCATTTTTGGAGAGATAAGCAAGTGTCAGTGAGGTATGCACTCAAGCATCAAATAGATGAGCTAGCAATCTAAGCTGACAGGCCTGCATTGGGTCTAGCATGTGTAGATTTCCCTGACATTGTATGCCATAGGCTAAACAAATAATAAATGTTGAGAAAAGGAGCAATTTGGCTTATTTGGAACTGACATCATTCCCTACTTAACATGTAGACCAAAGACCAACAAACTTTCAAGAGGTTTTGACAAGTCACTGTGAACAAATCTTTAGTCACATATTGACTCCATATTTATGTATCTTTTCTATTTCAAAAGGGATATTTCATGAAAATCATCTAAAAATCTCATTGTGCAGCTTTTCAAAACCGTGGGATCAAATAAGTGAAAGACAGAAAATGAACCTCAATGGTTTTGCTACTAAGGACTGCAGTAGCATTTGTGCACCGTTATAAACTTCAGGGCCATTGCTGTCAATATGCTAATGCTTAGAGAAGGACAAATAAACTAGATGAAGCTGAATGCTTCTTACAAGAAAGCAAATGTTCAAAACAAGATGGGTGGCAAATAAAGCTAATAAATGAAATGAAAAAAAATATTGATTTAAGAGTGTCATTTATTTATCAGATATATATGTCCTTAATGTCGTTCCAGCTTCTTATATACAAATGATAAAACATCCACAGTAAATATTATTGATAAGACAGGTAAACAAACAAACACTGTACAATTTACTCTCTTAAAAACAGTTTTCTGAAATACAGTAATACTGTGATAACTTCCCAACAACTCACAAGTTAATTGAATAGCAAGATGCCATTCAAGTATGGAAAAGCTCAGTTTTATCACTTTCTGCAAGGGTGAAGTAGGAGAAATCATCTTTTCTCCAAAGGGAAGATGTTCCCTAGGATTGGTGCTGTGATGGAAAGACATAATTTCCTAATCTCCCATCAGTCCCATTTACTTCATAGAAATCTGGGATGGCTGTGGTTACGATTTATGTATTGTAGATGTCAATCCTGGTTGGAGAAGCTGGTCCTAAAGACAATATAGTGCAAGCCATGTGGGGCTCTATTAGACAAAACCAGCCCTTGGATTTTCACTCAGAAAATTATTAGTGTTAAATCCGTAGTTCGCATGCGAATGATGAAGACACATGGTGACAACTAACAATGCTTTATTCTCCTACTCCAACTCCAAGCAACAAGCAAAAGTGACGCAGGCCTTTCTATAGGGCTTGAAACCCGAACAGAGTGAACAAATAAGAGTTCTTCCTTCTTCATGCCTTGCGCATGCGCACAAGGCTGGTGCCGCTCTGTCTGGTCCCGGGCAGCTTTTAGAATGCCTGGGAACATTTGCAACAATTCTGGGCCTGCTGAATTTCCTCATTAGGCCCAGGACACAACAATTAGTAACTTGTGCAGGGCATTGAACACATGGCAACTGCCTAAGAAAGGAGTTAAATTATCATAAAACAGTCCCCAAACTTTGCAGGTGATCTAAAGGATAGCAGGCTGATAATAAGCCAAGCTAATGAGTAGTACAACAAATCTAGAAGTGGGGAACTACGCCAAACAAAGTCCTGGAAAAGATCATTAACTATATAACCAATGTTGTTTCTGTCCCCGGCCAGGGAATAAATCCTGACTGAAAGGGACCCTCCCAAAATCGCAGTTTCTCCAGAGTTTTGTGGTTGCCTTGTCAGTATCTTCTCACCAAAAGGAAGGCTTCCGATGGGGTGGTCTTCCAATGGACCAGATGTGGGCTGTGGCTCTTAAAGAGGGGGCGTATCGCAGTCTCCTTCCATGTGTCATTGTGTCCCAGCTACTGGCAGCAAAGAAAGGGAGATCAGTTTTTCTGTATCTACTGTGACATTGGAACATCTGAAGAATGTCTACAAGGGGATCCAAGGTCCAATGAAAATTCAGCAGTGCAATTCAATGCAAACATTCAATAAGCAACTGAGCTGCCTTTCTGAAGGAAATATGGAACCTGCGCACCAAGGCTTCTAAGGAGGGAGAACTGAATACAAGGATAGGTAGCAAAAGGATTCTTCTGCTAATATGTAAGGCTGTAATCAGAAGGAGACTTACTTGCAATAACATGACCTCTGGGACATTGCAATGGCTGGAATACTAAAGACCCATCACCAGGACCCTTTGCCCAATGCTGCCAAAGTTTAAACAGTTGCTGAACAAGAAGACATAACCTGGGAACTACTTTTATATTCATGGGATCTGAACTCTGGGAAATCGATCTGATACAACAGAGAATGGTGAGGTGCATAAATCAGCAAGAAAAAGAACCGCTTACTCCATATAATCTATTCCCCAACATAGATGCAGGCCAAGCACACAGAGAAATGAGGGGCACACCTAAGAATGATTATGTAAAGAAAACATAGTCACAACTCATTATCTTTTCCCCCCAGTTACCTTCATGCTAAGAATATAATCCACCGGGATCTCAAATCTAATAGTAGCCTCCTCTTGCAATTGTCCAGCCTTGGTTACAGAGACTTTTTTAAGGAACTTTAGTGAATTAGTTACCTGATTTATTACAACACCAGCATGAAAATAATTGATCATCTATGTCTTTTTAAATTTTCTTAAGGCTTCTAAAGTTGCAAGTGGCTATTTAAAGTCTGTTCAATGCTTATGTTTCAGCTGCATAGCTAGCCAAGCAAAGATTGTACAGTAGATAATATTCAACTCAGAATCACTCAAACTGTTAAAACATTTGAAATCAACTGATTTTGATCTCTTATTTAGGCCAAGATTTCTAGCAAAACCTCTCTGTCATTTTCAAATCTGGTTATTCCATAACTTCAGTTTCTCATATGATTTGGGATTAAAGCATAACTGTTCATCTGTTAATAAACAAATAGGTTTGGCAGCCAAGATCCCTATATCATGAAGTCTGCAAAAGTCTTGGACAGTTATATTTTCGAACGAAGGTGAATATACGTGTCCCTGGATAATGTTGCAGGATCCCACCTGGCTTAGAGGGTTAATCTTCCAAGCTTTCAGACTCAGGGAACTTCTCTCTAGCAGAGATATTTTTTCCTCATCCTCCCCCATTAATTACTGAAGAGAAGAGCTGATGCCAGAAACACAAATGGCTGATTTTTATGGTCAGATAAGGTAAGATATGCTGTGTCCAAACCTGTCTTCCAGAAATCTAATGTATGCAGCAAACCAAATGGGGACATATTATGCTGCCAGTTCTTTGAGAAATCAAGTGTGGCCAGTTTGAATGGCAACTATTAACATGAAGGCAAGAGAAAATTTGGGAGAAGGGGAGAGGGGAAGCTTTAAATACCAGGAGAATACACTAGGGAACAAAGTTTGCCTCTGGAGAAGGACCCAGGAGCAACAGAGAATAAGGTGAGGAAAAAACAGCCAATTTCTTTTGTAGCAAACTCTCTAGGGGTGCCAGTTTGGTGTAGTGGGCAAGACAGGTAGGACCCAAGCTTTAAATCTGAAGTTGTTCCACAGAATGAAACACCCATGACCTTCCCTAATAATAATAATAAAGTTGGAAAGGACCTTGGAGGTCATCTAGTCCAACCCCCTTCTCAGGCAGGAAACCCTATACCATTTCGGACAAATGGCTGTCCAGTCTCTTCTTAAAAACTTCCAGTGTTGGAGCATTCACCGCTTCTGGAGGCAGGTTGTTCCACTGATTAATTGTTCTAACTGTCAGGAAGTTTCTCCTTAGTTCTAGGTTGCGTCTCTTCTTGGTTAGTTTCCATCTGTTGCTTCTTGTCCTGCCTTCAGACACTTTGGAAAAAAGCTTATATTTCAGTACTTGAATCATCCTGTTCTATGACCAACTGTAGGACACAATTGTCACAATTACAGGACACAATGGTCACAATTTGTCTTTAATCTTTAGCTGGTGCTCTCTCATTCAATGCTCTTCCACAAAGACTGCTGCAGAAAGGAAACATTACCTCTGTCCTAAGCGAGAGGCTTCATGCAAAGCAAGAAATGGATACTACAAAACCATATGGATTTTTCCTAGCCAGCTTCCTTGTCTACATGCTCTTGGAGGATCTCACTGAGGCCTGTAGATGTACGCCACCAAGTCTCCGGAAAGCATGTTGCGAACATAACTTTGGTGAGTTTTGAAAATGAATATTTTTCTCCCATCCCTTACCACTCCCCATTTCTCTACTTTGTAGGTTTTGCTGCCAGCATTAATCCTTCCAGTTGTAGCAAAACCATTCCTGTCATGAAAGCCGAATACTGTATATTACTTATTTCAGAATCCTTTGTGAATAAGAGTAACCAGCACCAATGAGTTTGTTCTGTATTGAAAAAATTTGTTCTGTATTAAAACCTCTTACGGGAAAATCTCTCTCACACCCTCTCTCTCTCCTTCCTTCTCTAGTGATGAGGGTGGTATTTTTGGGTGTCCAGCGGGATCCTGACTCTCCTCCGTATTTGCAGATGAATAAATTTTCTGTTCGGGTTATTCAGGTAAGCCTCTCATCTTCCTGAAACATATGACAAAGAGCAAATTGGCAGATATTCAATCTTTTGTGAAGGGATATTGTTCCTCTCATGACAAATTCTCCTGACCTACTCTTGCCCTTATCAAATACTGAATTATTTTTATTTCTGAAGGTATTCAAGGGTGCAAGGAGAGCAGTAAATGCACGGATTCTCTACTCGCCAGAATCAGTGTTTGACTGTGGATATATACATCAAGGCCCTTTCCAAGAAGATGACTACCTAATTTCAGGTAGAGAATACCAATAAACTAGTAACAACACAATTAATACATATATAAATTAAAAAGGATGGCACATTGCATACCAATACTTTCAACATTATCATTATTCCTAATCTAGTCTATGTTATTTCTTGGTCACTTTCCATCCCATTTTTGGAGGGATAACCAAGTGTCAGTGAGGTATTGTCAGTTCCTGTAGAGACATGAAGCTTGCTTTACAAGACTACAGATTTTCTGAGAAAAGTGGATGGGGTGGCACAGTAGTTTAATGACACTGGAACTGCTGGCCAGAAATGGTCTGCACTCCGGTGGTTAGAGCCCAGCTCTGTGAGACAGAGTGAGATCCCATAACTAGATCCCTAGCTCCTTCACACCCAGCCATTTGAAAGTGTACAACATTGCAAGTAGATAAATGGGTACCACTTCAGTGGGAAACCTACAATCTTTACAGTCACATATTGACTCCACTTTTATGTATCTTTTCTATTTCAAAAGGGACATTTAATGGAATTTATGCTGATATCGCAAAGTGCAGCTTTGCAAAACCGTGGGCTCAAGTAAGTGAAAGACAGAAAATGAACCTCTACGGTTTCGCTGGTAGGGACTGCAGTGAAATTTGTTGAAAGGTATAAACTTCAGGGCCATCGCTGTCAATATGCTAATGCTTAGAGAAGGACAAATAAACTAGATGAAGCTGAATGCTTCTTACACGAAAGCAAATGTTCAAAACAAAATGAGCGGCAAATAAATCTAATAAATGAAATGAAATAAAATATTGATTTAAGAGTGTCATTTATTTATCAGATATGTATGTTCTTAATGTCATTCCAGCTTCTTATATACAAATGATAAAACATCCACAGTAAATATCATTGATAAGACAGGTAAACAAACAAACACTGTACAATTTACTATGTTAAAAACAGTTTTCTGAAATACAGCAATACTATGATAAGTTCTCAACATCTCACAAGTTAATTTAATAGCAAGGTGCCATTCAAGTATGGAAAAGCTCAGTTTTATGTAGACAATGGAGCCTCTGAGACCAGCAAAACATGCCCCAGGAAGCTTCAATCTGTATCCCCTTTTTGAACTATCTGCATCCTTGGGATAGCACTGCACAGTGTATTACAGTTTGTGGAGCATGTTACCTAAGGCCTCAACAAACTATTTACCAAATCTGAGTTTGAGCAATATAAGATTGCCTTAAATTTACTCTTAAAGTAACTTTTAAGCATCCTAAAGAATAATAAACATTGTCTTTGTCTTCCCTTATCCTTAAATGATGCTGCTGAAACTATTTTAGTAGCACTCATAAAAATGGAATAGAGGCTTATTATATAATGTGATGAGTTGCTATGTCAATAACGGGGGAGGTGCTATATTTACATTAAGAATGCAGAATGTTTCTTACAAACCTTGCCAAAACCCTAAATCAAATCCCAGAGAGAACAACACAAGACAAACAGGTCATCTTTCATTTCTATTCCCTCTTCAAACAGAAACAACCATCCATCCCACTTCCAGACCTAATTTTCCAAATTCCAGTATCAAAAGCAACCTACTGTGATTGGAGCTAATATTCAAGCATGTTTATAGTCTACAAAATATATAGGTTTAATAGGTTTGGCAGTAAACAATACTCCAAACAAGGAATTGTCAATTAAAACAAACAAGCTAACTGTGAACAATAGCCTAATCAAGGAACCACCAAGTCCACTTCCACCAACACTGAATAGGCAATCCACTAATTTTTAAAAATAAGAGCATGCCTCACTATCTTCTAGAACTGAAGATGTTAGTCTGGTAATGAAACATTTGTAAGAAAACAACCAAGCTCCAAGAGCACCACGAACCCACAGTTCAACCCTGAGCTACAAATATTCTCTTCTAATTGTACCTGCAGGTTTAGCAGCCCAGTTTTCTCCATTACCATCCACGGTGACAAGCTTGTGAGTGATTTCAAAAAACCTAAAGTAGCTATAAAAGTTTACTAAAATAATCAGGATGTAAAATGAGCTCTGCATGAGTGAACAATGCCCAACCAAGACAGCAATTAATTGGATCAAATGGAGAAAAAGAGGAAGACCAAAGAAAACCTTTCAGGAAGATCTGAAAAACGTCAACTTTAAATGTAAGGATGTGGAGACTGTAACTGGGGATCAAGAAGTGTGGGGTACTCTTGTAGCCCAATGTGCTTGGTACAGGACGTGAGAGAGGAAATATGGAGGGAACACACTGCACGCTCCCTTGATCATAATAAGTGTATCTTGGGATCCTCATGTGAAATTGATCGACAGCAAATTCAGAACAGATAAAAGAAAGGTACTTGTTCCTAGAAATAAAATTAAGTTACTGGAGTTTGTTACTGGATGACATGGCGAAAACGTTTTGCTAAAATATCTATAAGAGAACAGAAATAGTACTGTATATGAAGGTATACAACTAACTAAATAATGGATGCTATATAGATATAGCATCCAACGGTGCCTTCGTATTCTCATGCTGGAGTTCCTGAAAGATCTCAAGAAGTAGGTGATTGTTCTGATACATTTGCATTCCTTTTATATTGCTATGTTCTTAAAGGGATGGATGGATGTAACTGCATAAGGAGATGGAACATGTAGAGCTAGCCTAAAGATAGTTCATTAGCCTCACATCATCAAAACCTATGCAGCATTTGTAAGTGAGCTATAAGAATGCAATTCGTAACTTAATGATTCTATTGGTCTTGCAATGGTCAGGAAACTTGATCAGCTTGTCTCACTAATAGTAAGGCAATGAAGTATTAATAAGTTAGGGTTTGTTAGGATATTGAATTTAGTAACTGGAACAGTAAAGTATACAATGGACCAAAACATACAGTTGTAGTTGAATGGTTGGAGAGTGCTGGCTCATTCGTGAGGCAATCTACACTATGATGTTGACACTCTAGAAAGAGTACAGAGAAGAGCAACAAAGATGATCAGGGGACTGGAGGCTAAAACATATAAGGAACAGTTGCTGGAATTGGGTATGTCTTGTTTAATGAAGAGAAGGATGAGGGTTGATGTTAAAACCTTCATTCACGTGTGAATGATGAAGACACATGGTGACAACTAACAATGCTTTATTTTCCTACTCCAACTCCAAGCAAAAAGCAAAAGACACACAGGCCTTTTTTATAGGGCTTGAAACTCGGACAGAGTGAACCAATAAGAGTTCTTCTTTCTTCGCGCCTTGCACATGCGCGCAAGGCTGGCGCCACTCTGTTTGGTCCTGGGCAGCTTTTAGAATGCCCGGGACCATTTGCAACAATTCTGGGCCTGCTGAGTTTCCTCATCAGGTCCAGGACACAACACCCCTCCCCCCTGGATAGAACACACACAATTCCAAATTTCTTTACAATAATAATAATAAAATAAAATAAAATAAAATAAAATAATACTCTGCTCACATGCAGACACCCTTCTTATAACTAATAGAGTTAGCTAACAGGTCATCTTTCATTTCTATTCCCTCTTCAAACAGAAACAATCATCCATCCTATTTCCAGACCTAATTTTGCAAATTCCAGTATCAAAAGCAACCTACTGTGATTGGAGCTAATAGTCAAACATGTTTATAGTCTACAAAATATGTAGGTTTAATAGGTTTGGTGGTAAACAATACTCCAAACAAGGAACTGTCAATTAAAACAAACAAGCTAACTGTAAACAATAGCCTAATCAAGGAACCACCAAGGCCACTTCCACCAACACTAAATAGGCAATCCACTAATTTTTAAAAATAAGAGCATGCCTCACTACCTTCTACAACTGAAGATGTTAGTCTGGTAATGAAACATCTGTAAGAAAACAACCAAGCTCCAAGAGCACCACGGACCCCACAGTTCAACCCTGTTGTTGTTGTTAATTGCGAAGTCGTGTCCGACCCGTCGCGACCCCATGGACAATGTTCCTCCAGGTCTTCCTGTCCTCTACCATCTTCTGGAGTCCATTTAAGTTCACACCTACTGCTTCAGTGACTCCATCCAGCCATCTCATTCTCTGTCGTCCCTTCTTCTATTGCCCTCAATCTTTCCCAGCATTAGGCCCTTCTCCAGTGAGTCCTTCCTTCTCATTATGTGGCCAAAGTATTTGAGTTTCAACTTCAGGATCTGGCCTTCTAAAGAGTAGTCAGTGTTGATCTCTTCTAGGACTGACCGGTTTGAACACCTTGCAGTCCAAGGGACTCGCAGGAGTCTTCTCCAGCACCATAGTTCAAAGGCCTCAATTCTTTGGCGCTCAGCCTTTCTTATGGTCCAACTTTCACAGCCATACATTGCAACTGGGAAAACCATGGCCTGGACTATACGCACTTTTGTTGGCAGGGTGATGTCTCTGTTTTTTAGAATGCTGTTTAGATTTGCCATAGCTTTCCTCCCCAGGAGCAAGCGTCTTTTAATTTCTTGGCTGCAGTCCCCATCTGAGGTGATCTTGGAGCCCAGAAAAATAAAATCTGTCACTACCTCCATTTCTTCCCATCTATTTGCCAGGAATTGAGAGGGCCGGATGCCATGATTTTGGTTTTCTTAATGTTGAGTTTCAAGCCAACTTTTGCACTCTCCTTCTTCACCCGCATCAAGAGGCTCTTTAGTTCCTCTACACTTTCTGCCATTAGAGTGGTATCATCTGCATATCTTAGGTTGTTGATATTTCTCCCGGCAATCTTAATTCCAGCTTTTGATTCATCTAGCCCTGCCTTTCTCATGATGTGCTCTGCATATAATTTAAATAGGCAGGGTGACAGTATACAGCCTTGCCGGACTCCTTTTCCAATTTTGAACCAATCAGTGGTTCCGTGTTCGGTTCTCACTGTTGCTTCTTGACCCGCATATAGGTTTCTCAGGAGACAAATGAGATGGTCTGGTACTCCCATCTCTTTAAGAACTTGCCACAATTTGTTGTGATCCACACAATCAAAGGCTTTTGCATAGTCAATGAAGCAGAAGTAGATGTTTTTCTGGAACTCCCTAGCTTTCTCCATGATCCAGCGTATGTTGGCAATTTGATCTCTAGTTCCTCTGCCTCTTCGAAATCCTGCCTGTACTTCTGGTAGTTCTCGATCCACATACTGCTGGAGTCTAGCTTGTAGGATTTTAAGCATAACTTTACTATCATGTGAAATGAGTGCAATGGTGCGATAGTTTGAACATTCTTTGGCATTGCCTTTCTTTGGAATTGGAATGTAAACTGACCGTTTCCAATCCTGTGGCCACTGTTGAGTTTTCCAAATTTGCTGGCAAATTGAGTGTAGCACTTTTACTGCATCGTCTTTTAAGATTTTGAATAGCTCAGCTGGAATACTGTCACCTCCACTAGCTTTGTTGTTGCTCAGATTTTCTAAGGCCCATTTCCCTTCACATTCTAGGATGTCTGGTTCGAGGTCAATGACCATCTCATTGTGGTTATCTGGGATGTTAAGCTCATTCTTGTATAGTTCTTCTGTGTAGTTTTGCCATCTCTTCTTAATCTCTTCTGCTCTGTTAGGTCCCTGCCATTTTGGTCCTTTATCATGTCCATCTTTGCATGAAACGTTCCCTTCATATCTCCAATTTTCTTGAAGAGATCTCTGGTCCTCCCTATTCTGTTGTTTTCTTCTATTTCTTTGCACTGTTCATTTAAGAAGGTATTCTTATCTCT